TCCTCCCTTATTTCCGCTCTCTGAAGACCAATGGAAAAAATATCCTCCGGTGAGGATTTGGAAAAAAAAAAAAATTTGTTTATATTGAAACAATTACCTTGGAAGTGGACAATTGCACAGCCCATCATTGGGAGATGGCTGGCTGAATGGCATCCGAAGTCTTTGTCATGTACCCTCTGAGTCTCTGAGGTCATGTTGAATCAGCAAGTGTGTGTCTTTCCAGGGAAATGGGGGTCTGTCCTAGGCTTCTGTTTAGTTTCATGACCTTGGCATTGCCCTCAGCAACGGGCCAGGAATTAACACTTCTTAAAGAGCTAGTGAGCTGCCCCATTGTCATCTGAACTGTGAGGCAGTTGGACCCTTGACAGGCAGTTGCTCCTGTCCCTGTCACTGATGGCATTGAGTTCTTAGTGAACTGGGCTGAGAGCGTTTTCATAAATGAGGCGTTTCCCATTGCTGCGTCTTCCAGTGGACCGTTTGCTTCAGGTGTGTACATATTTGTGGGTGTATGTGTATTTTTGTCTTTTGTCTTTCAGGTAGAGTAGTGTTGTAATTGAGCTTTTGCAAGTAGACCTTCTGCTCACTGAGGAACAAGTACACAGCACAGTGTTTAACACAATCCAAACGTTTTGGATCTTAAAAAGCGAGAACATTTGCTGCTTTTAAATGCAGTTCCCCGATTGACATTGGCACTACCCAGGCTCTGCGTTTGCAGACTGTGCTGTAACGCTTTTGTCACAAGAGATGCATATGGGGACAGCTCTCTGGAGGGAACCTGGGCAGTACCTTGAAAAATGACCACCTGTACATTCCCCATGACCTGAAACCCACTTCAGGGAATTAACCCTGAACTCAAATCTCAAAACTTGGAAATGGCTGTGCACAAGGATCTACAGTATCTATAATAGGATATAAGTACAAACATGTGCTACAGCTGAAGCTCCTGGCAAAGGATGCAGGTTGAAGAAGCTGTGGCACTTCCACACAACGGGGTACTACCTGCTTCCTCAAAAAAGGGGGGCGGTCAACAACTGACACCAGTGATTCCTAAGCTATTGTCAAGAGTGTCTGTCCCCAGCAGAGAAGACAGTCACTGGCAGGGAGTTTTAGAACAGCCCAGTCCTCGGATGGTCAGTCTCCTGGGGGAGGTGCCACCTGTTCCCCACCCTAGACTCGGCTGCTTGGGAGAAAGTGGTGCAGGCTGCTCAGACTGGCTGCTGCAACCCACCCCTTGGACCCACCCACGCACCCACCAAGCTGTGAGGTGCAGAGACCTACTGGGAAGGGCAGACCATTCCTCGGGATGGCCTATCTTTGCCGGGGACCCTTTGGTGTCAGGCAAGTCGCCCCTGTTGCCACCACTCAGCTACACAAATCCAGGTTACCAACTTACAGAGCTGAGCTTTCAAGCCTCCAGTAAAACAAGCACAGCATCCTTAGCAACGAGAACACCCACAGAATTAACTTTCAGGAACAGATAAAATGTCTCTAAATAGGAGAGTAGGGCAAGTTCTAGAAAACAAAGGTTATTTCAGAAGTTAAGAATATAAACTAAATAAATCCAAGTCTGAAAATCATAGGATTTTCCCTGATGAGAAAAAGGCTTAACTGGAATCAGGCATAACAGGGACAACAGAGAGAAACTCCTAGAGGCTTTGAGTGTGGCTCCCATGTGACTAGCCCCTTTGAGCAGTGCCAGTGCCCCGGTGGGGGTAAGGACGCACAGGAACAGCGGCTCCTGAGCCAGCTAAAGTGTCCCCAGACCCGCAGCTGAAGTGATGCCTGCAGCCTGCACCTCCTGCTCTGTCCCCTCCAAGACACAGAAGCCTGGCTTTCTACTTGGTGAGAAATACATTTTAAAGAAAAGACAGAAAAGGTGTCCAAATACAAAGTGCAAATCATTTAAAACTGAAAATTTATTAAACTTTTTGATCAAGATAGTGGAAATATATACAACCCTATTTTACTAGAACTTTTTTAAAGGACCAGGGATGGCTAATGCTTCAACAACTGTTCCACATCTCAGATTTATAAACCAGGTCACAACCGATAGACAGTATAAGCATTTTTTAAAAAATAAATGTACTTTTAGCTTCTCAATTTCTAACTCAACATGAACTAAAGTGGCATTGTTATTCAGGGTAGTGAGCAAAAGCATTTGTGTTTCATTAGTAATCAAAACACACCTGTTTCCAGTGTTCGTGAGCCTGGCTTCCCTCCCCGCCACAGCTTTGGGCTCAGGTGTGAGAACCAGTGGCAGCGTGGCCCCAGCACTGTGTGGTTAGTTGTATGGCTTTTGTCCTGGGAATGCTGGTGGCCTCACCTTGTAACTGAGGTTGGTTTTGCCGGCTTATGCAGTGTGAGCGAGCTGTGACAGCAACCCCTCATCCCTACTGTTTTAACAAATTAAAAGCAATCACGAGCATTTTCAACCCCTATGAAGCCAAGAGGCGTGGAACCTGGTGTTCATCTCATAGCAGCAAGTCCAGTCAGTTCCTTGCAATTTGCTTTCTCAGCGGTGAGTTAAGGTGTCCCTGGACCTTACCTGGTGTGGCAGAGGTACTATTTCTACAGAAACAAGCAAAGTTAGGAAGCTTGGGACAGGCACACGCTGTACTTCACAGGTCCCACCACCCTGCCCACAAAGGACAAGGTTTCAGGGTGTTCTGAAGCACGATTCTGTGCAACCTCATCATCTGCGACCAAAGAAAAAGGCGACCCTTAGGTCTGGATTAAAAATACTTTGTATAGCGTGTTGCTTTTATTAGGTGGCTACACTAGAAGGTGTGTGTGGGTCAAGCGGCCTGAGCCTGCTTGGCCAGTAGCCCTGGGCGGTCGGCACAGTTGCACGAGAGCCCCAGTCAGACAGTAGAGGGATGAGTGACAAGTTTTCTCTTGGGTATTCATTTTTTGGTCTATAAAGTGGAAAGGACGGCTCAGATTTAAATAAATACATTTATTGTAATGGCCTTTATTGAGCTCTGTCCATCAGTCTGCACCAACTGATGCAGTTCTTCGCTTGCGCAGTGACCCCCACGGGCCCCCTGACCCCGTGTACACGGGCTCCAGTCTAGGAAGGAAACACGGCGTGCACCCCTGTGCTCCACAGAGCGGACAGCCCACCCCAACAGAAAGCGCCGGGCCTAGCTGTGCAGGATGACACCTGTGCAAGCGTCCTAGTTGGCTTTGTCCTGGAATATGTACAGGTTGTTGGTGGCAGCCACGGCAATAATGTTGTCGGTGGGGTGCCAGGCCGTGTGCAGAATCTTCTTATTGAAGTCCAGACTGTCCACACTGATCTCGTCCTTCTTCCGCTTCCCGCCTGGACACACCCTCCGAGGCTTCAGACTGGCTCGAGGCTTGCTGTTCTCTCTGGAAGCTTCCAGGGTCACGTCCCTCCGACTATTTCTGTCAAACATCCTGAAGAAGTTGTTGTAGGACCCCGTCATGATCGCACTGTGCCAACAGAGAGAAGCATGTGTAAGCCAGCAGGACTTGATGCCCCGCCACAGCGCTGGACCCAGCACAAGCCCAGCCTGTGGTCACTTTCTGGTACCCCTGGGCTACATACAGAACAATTCTTAGAAACAATACATGAAAAGTAATCATGATCAGGAGAGAAACGCAGTGAGAATTTCTTACTGAACTCCATATATATATATATATATATATATATAATCGTGTCAGTAAAAATAAATGTTACAGAATAAAAAAGTAATAAATTTCATATTTTAATTACATTAATGCATTTCCAAAAAAGGTAAAAAACAAACCAACTCCACTACACATCATCTGCCCCAGTCATGAATAGCAGTGTCATTTACTTTCAAGCCTTAACTTCCGGGCTGTGTCAGTGATTCAAAGTTGATCAAAGATGCGTTATTAATTCATTAATTTCGAAATGTTTTTCCACAGAAAGCAACAAGTAAAATTAGGAAAAATGACTGGGAGAAGAGGGGAGAGATTTAGAGCCTCATTTCACAATAAATTCTTGATGTGGCAATACTATTTCTTCAGAATTAACCCTGACGGCTTTCAGTGAATCACACATCATCATAATACATTCTATTATACTGGTAAAAACATCTAGTCTTTTTCTAGAAATCAAGAGGAAAAGGGCTGGACGACAGTGAATGTTGCCATGACTTGAGACCTGGCTTTAGAATGATCCAGTTCTGGATGAGATGTGTTCAAAGTTGTTCTGATTTCTCCGAGCAGGACAAGACCAGGATCTCTGCCACTTCTGCAGCCTTCCTCCTCCGACACCCACCCACCCTCGTCACTGCATGAGGAGCGGCTGATCCTCAAGGCACCATGAGAGGGAAGCCTGATGTTTCATTTACAGGTTTCAAGGTTGATCCTGGCTGTGGATCAGTAAATACTTTACTGTCTGGTTAACCTCATCTACAACTTCACAACAGAAAAAAAAGGTAAAATCAGGAGAAAAATCACTCCCGCTAGCTGTGTTTACTCCAGCTGCAGGAACTCTGCCGGAAGCAGGCCTAAGTGGACTCCTAGGAGCGGCTGTCTGTTCCCTAGACAATCTAGAGCATAAGGCAGGGTCGCTCAGCAGCATGGCGCGGGCACAAGGAAAGGGGCCTCCTGCACTTCACTCCACCCCTCAACAGAAGCTTCCAGGCAGAAAGGCAGGGGAGTATTTGAGAAAATGAAAGAACAAGTAATGTTAGCGGAAAGCTTTTGGAAGTATCCGGGGATGGGTTATTTAAATAGATTTTTCATTAACTCAGATATACCAAAAAGCATAAAGAATATACAAGAACATCCATGTACCCACCAGCCACTGCTAACAGTTATATCCTACTGTGTCCCCGGTGGCACAATCACTCAAGATCAGGGTGCACCATCCTGTATGCATCTATAGTCTGAAGAGTTACATAACTTAGACATACACTGTCCTGTGTGTCCTAAATGTCACACAAGCATCAAACCATGTGTATTCGTGCAGCTTGCTGTCTGTGCTCAGTGTCTCCCTGAGACCATCTGTGAGGTACATGTGGTTTTTACTCTACACAGCGACTTTCAACTACTGCACTTGTCATTTCTAGAAGCTCTGTTTCATTCTTGTCCGTACCTCCTAAGCCATTTTTGTCTTGTGCCTGTTCACGTTTGCCTCCTTCCTTTAATCTGTAAGTATTTCTGGCATTATACTCTGGAACGTCTGATTTCAGTATCTCAGTTCTCTGAGGTGAAGTCTCTGACGTACTTGCAGTGGCGTGGTAGGTTTCACCTGTGAGCTCATGTGCACCGACTGTAGCTCGAGGAAACCCTGAGCCCTGGGTGCACCCGCAGAGGCTTTCCGCCATGGGTGCCGGGTGCCCCTGCATGTTCTCAATGGGTTTGCCAAGAATGTGGTCCTTGAGTGCTCTCCACTTGGTCCACTTCTCAGGGTTGTGTCTGCAATGGCCCAAGTGTAGGCTTGTTTACCACCTGCTAGAAAAAGCTCAGTGTGCACTGGCTGTGACGCAGTCCACTGCTTGCGTGGCATCTGCCTGGGCCCCTGGTGTCACTCCTGTGGGACTGAGGAACCAAGGCCAACACAAAGCTCATGCTGCTTTGCTGTGCCATGAGGAACAAGTCCTCTGTCTCTGACCCAGGAGTTTCATGTCCTCAGCCAGCAACCATGAAACACTAAGAGGAGACATGATGGGTAAGCTGGGTACAAGCCCAGAGCTGAAGCTGGTTGCTCCTGCAGATGCCCAGAACACCTCTCCCTCAGTAGATCAAGCAGCCAGTGCAGATACAAACTCCTCATCGCTGTGACGGAGGACACACTCATGGTCACAAACCTCAGGATTTTTATCCACCCCAATCCAACGTCTCAGACAAATTCCCCTGGAACCCATCTGAACGCAGACAGATGCCTTTTCCATAACCCATGAGGGCCCGTTTCAATGTCCAGTCTGCGTGGGCCCATGGCGTGACTGCACCGCTCCTGGGCTGTACAAGCTGAGCAGTGGGGTCCTGGCTCCCTCTTCATTTCTGGCCCTTGTGAGACTTCCCTCCCTTGTGAGCTCAACTGTGCACGTAAGGAGATGTATGGTGTCACATCCAGGGATTTTGATGTTTGTGCCGAAGTTTTTCAGAATGTCTGCCAGTCCCTTACTGCCAGGAGCACTACGTGACACAAAGTACTATTAAAGATGATCTTCTGCTATCATCTGAAACTGAATTTTTTTTTTTTTTTTTTTTTTTAAATATTTTTTTTTT